CATTACCATCCCACTAGCTGGATTAATCTGACTGCACTCTGCCACTGTGAGGGAGAGATGAATCCACTTCTCTCATCAACCCTCCTCCCTTTAAATACACTCTAAATGTGACTGGGAGCTGGGGGAGAGCAGGGTGGAACAGCCAGTTTAACACATGAACAAATGAAACATTAAAGGTGGGGATATACTAAAATCCACTCATGGCAAAGACCGGAGGGATGAGAGAGTAACAGCAGCCTCTCTGAAATGGAAGCTGCTCAAGCCACAAGAGAAAGATGAAACTCTGGCTTTTCCACATTATTCAGGCTGACATTGTTTGATAAAGGAACATTCATAAAAGCACTTAATCTTAAGACAATATTCCATTTAGAAAAACAAAAAGAAAGCAGCAGAACCACACCAACACACACCCTGCTCCTCCCTGCCAGTCCCTAATCTATAATGACATGGTTTGCAAATCTTTCAGCTACTGTCAGCTGGAAGGAACAAACTCAGGATACAGTACAGGAATGCAGTTACTGCAATCTTTTCCAAAGCTTAAACCACCATCCTCTGCACTGAGGAATGGCTCCCAAGTTCTAATCATAGCACACTGCCAGTATTCTTAATTTTTGGTTAACATTAACTACTTAACTACTACATACAAACACAGGTAAGAATGAAGATAATTATTTACCTGATAATCCTGAAAAATATATGTATTGTCCTTTAAGAAGACTAACTTGTAGATATAACTTTTTAAGTAGTATCAAAAAGTTGGTTTATGTCAGATATTTCTTGAACTTCTGAACAGTAAGAAGTGCAGTGTTAACTTTTGAAATGGTTTGATGTGGTACATCCCATAGTAAATGTAATATAATTAGCCACCACCCCAACCCTACAGATATGTAAGGAAGCCAGTACTACCCACCAGATTGGTGTCATCCTTTGTTCTAGTCACTTTAAATTTAATAAAACCAGCTAGGTTTCTGACATAACCCCAGAAAGAAAATCTAAATATGATGAATTTGGTTTATCTGGATTATTTACAAAATAATCCAGATATGAAACTGCTCACTTTTAAGTCTACGCACAAAAGATATTTTACTGCTTTCACTCGTAAGGAAGACTTGATCTTGAGAAACCATGTACAAAATACGTCCATTTAAGCAGACAAAAGACAACAAGCAATTGGAAATATAAGATGGCATGAGCCCATATTACTCATTTTCAGCAAGAAACACGACCAACAATAACCATTCAAAAAACTAAATTAATTTTAATTCTACACACATGCCAAATGCCAAAATACAGCTTCCAGAGTAAAGCTCGTTCCTTACTGCAGTTAAATAGAGCATTCCTGGGAGATAAGCTGGATTCAAGGAAACAAACAGTGATTAAATCAACACACAGATACTATTACTTGCATCTGTTTTCTTAGCTGACTGAATCTGAAGAAACTGTCAACTATCAGAGACTGCCTTTACACATTTAAAGAAATTAGCATCTCTAATGTTAATTTAGTGTTCATTCTCTGTTCACATTCCCAAATATATTATGGGTACTAGAAGCATACACACAACCTTCAGCCCTCATGCTTGCCCTTTCAGCATGGCCTCTTATTATTAAGTATGTTAATTTTCTAGCACAAAAAGCCCCATGTATAGTGTCATCTCATGCCTGATGACTATAAAACACTTACAGAATCCTCTGGAAGTAATTCCTGTATCACTGAAAGCATCTGCAATTCTGGCTCTAATCCTCACAATGAAGTGCCCAATTTAAATCCCGGAAGATGACGACAACAAATATCTCAGCAAATCCAAGTCACAGAAAGGGCACCTTTCTCTGGTCAGGCATTTATTTAGTAATTTTTCAATGGAACCACATTTCCTTCTACATCCTACTCTCAGAAAGGAAAATGTTTCACTAAATCAAACACTGGGAAGACTTTATTACCTCAAGAACACCTGAAGCTGACTCTGACTCAGGGTAACTGCTACAACCAGCTCTATTTTGAAGTCACAAAGTAATCTTTTTAGAGTGAACAAGGTGTCTCTGGCTGGTACTTGGGTACAACAAATACATTTTAGACATTATGTTCATCATGCTTTTGCTTGAAGGAAAATCAGAGTTAACATTGAAATGTTTTTCTAAACTTTAGTCAAGGTAAATACTGTGTTCTTGTAAAACAATTAGAAATACTTTAGAAACGTGAAATATTATGAAGGCTGAATTAAGAGAAAGCCTGTGGCTACCCACTTTATTGCCATGATGATGGAATTGGTCCATTTTTACAACAGTTGTGTCATACTGAACAACACCCTGGAGGAATACTGACTACAAAAAATGTTAATTTAACTAGACCTAGCATGCTTGTCCCCATCACTATCTACAACCCTGCTCTTCAACGCCAAATATACTTTTCTTTGTACACAGAGTACACTTTGCTTATTCATGAATTTACCCAGATTTCTGTATTTTTTACTCCTCTTATAAAAACTTTATTTTACAAGTATTTGTACACTGAATTGAGTTTTAAAATAATCATGAGCTATGCAACTGGAGAGACGCTATCAACCCCAGAGTAAATTCAATTGCACGCCTGCCAGAGAAGTCAAACAGAAGAAGAGATGAAAGAGTAACTGCACAAGCCCACATTTCAAGAGAAACAGAAGATGCATTAAATGGACTCAGAACTGAATATAAGGCTACAGTATTTCCCCAAATTACCAATTAAATAATACACATATGTAGGTATGTGTGCATACACATAAAGATACAGAGAAATGTGTACTGTATGAGCAGCACATGAGTGAGAGGTTTCTGACATGAGCATGGCAAGTTCTGCACAAACACAGGAAGCAGCAATTGTCCTTATATCCCTTAAATGTCTGTACAGTGTATTTTGTTCTATGTCAAAAAAATTCAGATTGACTCCTGCATATTTAATTTCAAATTATGTATGTGACTCCTCTGTTGTCAAACACAGATCTTTTAAAAGAATCCATTTCCATTAATAAGGCACTGCTAACCATATCACAGGAATCTGACAAAATTCATGAAGCTACTTCACAGGACCTTTGGGGGGTAACCTTATACTCTATTTTAGTTATATATAGCAGCAAGTAAAGAGAATCTATGCTCAAATTACTGTTAGAATTTCTGATTACTGGAACTGTCCAGCTCCATCATCATCCTTCAGAAACATCAAGGTTGCCAAACTTTAACTGCAAAGTGATGCAGAAGCGATACTGCATTGGTGAGCGAGTTTTAGGAATGGACAAATTAAATTCCCTGCCTTTACCCATATGCTTCTCCATTATGTGAAATGTCTACCTAAATGGAACTGCAAGAGTTCTCCTTAGCTGTTCTAATTTCATGGAAAAGGTCCTCCTAAACCATGTGGTCACAAAAATGATTGCGCAAGTGACTTGCAAGGTCTTCTGCTCAGCCTCACCAGATGGATCAGCTTTCTCTCTGCTGCCAGTAAACGCTGAATGTGTAACTTCCAATTGTATCTGTAATCCTAGGGCTATAACATCCTCTATCATGTTTCGCTGAAGCTCTGGAATTCATACTCAATTAAAATAAAGCTATTTTCCAAAAGAGTTTTAAATCAACTGTGCATTCTAAAAGGTGTTGCTTTCAGTTTTGTTGGGCTTTTCTTTTTTTTAATCAAAATGCTAAGCTGTCTGAAACCTCAACAGTTCCTCTTCAGCTTCCAATGCACACCCTTTGTGCATAGGTTTCCTATTTAAGTGATGAGCAAATGCAAAACTGGAAGTGAAAGACAATTACTTTGCAGAGCAATTGTTGTTAAACCTTCTGTCAAGCACAACACAGCTAAAAATGAATTTTAACCGTTTTAGTTTCTTGTATTTTTATGTGTAAACTTGAAAGCATGCTATATGAATGACACTGGCTTATAATTTTGCTGTTCAAAGCAAACTATAAAAACAGACTTTTGCTTTTTCCTAGCCAGTTTTGTTTTCTGAGTTTGTATTCTGACTTCATGACGAGTATCTTGAGTACTGATATTACTTTTACATCATACCCACTAATGGAAATCATTAACACAAGGGAAAAAAAAAAAAAAAGCACCATCATTGATTTAGCCACCTTCAAAAGCCACACAAGAGTATTACACTAGGTGATACCACCTTGGCCATTAAAATGTGCTTCAATATGCTTAGAACAGAGAATTCAGTCAAGTGTCAAGAAGTTTCCTTATTCTGATTACATACAACTGCTGTGCAGATCTACAAATCTGGCATCTCGTTACTTAGAAATATCAGAAAGACCAAAGCAAAATAAGTAAGGTATTAAAGTGTCCTTCTAATTAATCTCTGCTCTAAAGATACAATTAGTTATCAATTAAATCAATTATGTATTTTTGCTAGAATAACCTGTTTCTAACCAACGCTTTCCTTATTCTGGAGGTGCAGAAATCCGGGCAAGACCTAAGTCTATGAATCCCCTCGGACTAGAGCCCGGCAGGTGACCTACAATGCATAAATCCGGTCACTGTGTACAAAGCCCAAAGCAGACCTGTCCTAGCCTCGCCTTCCCGCAGCAGTTCCGCCCTGGCACGGCGCAGCCCCGGCGCCGGGGGAGCGCAGACAAAGCGCCGCACGCCCGGAGCCGCAGGCCGGAGCCTCCCCAGCCCTCTCTGCCCGCTCCCTCCCAGGGCGGCGCCCGCCGCAGCACCGGGGGGAGCCGGCACAGGAAACGGGGACAAAGCCGAGCCGATGCCCATCGCCAGGCACGTACCCCTGCCCGCAGCCGAGCGCAACTGACAAAACGCCCAAAAAAAGCCTCCCCCAAAAGCCACCCCGCCCTGGGCGCGCAAAGGACGGGGCCGGCTGTCAGCGGCGGCGCTGCGGGGGGACCGGGCGGCCCGCGCAGCCTTTTGTTGTTTGCGCAGCGGCGGATGAGAAGGGAGAGGAGCTGAACACCCCACGCACCCACACCCAAACACACCCGCCCCGGGTCCCGGCCCGCCGGCCCCCCCCGCTCACCGCTCGGTGCTGCAGCTCGGGCGATGTGCGCAGCGCTCGCTGGGGCGGCGGGGGCCGCGCAGCCCGGGGCGGGGAGGCGGCCGGAGGAGGATGTCAGCGATGGGCGGGCGAAAGGGAGGAAGGAAAAGGGTTTTTGGGGGGGAGAGAGGACCGGAGAGACGGAGGGGAGGCGTGAAAGAAGCGAGTCAGCACCACGGCGGACCCAGCGCTTCCCGCAAGGCGCTGGCAGGGCCGCGGTGGTCGGCGCCGGCGGAGCGGGCGCTGACAGCTGCCGGCAGCCGCCACCACCGCCCCGGCTGCTGCTGCTGCGGCTGCGGCCGCCGCCCCTGTCCCGCCCCGCGCTCCCCTCCCTCCTTCCCTCCCGCCCCGCCTGACATGGCGGCGCCCCCCCTTCTCCCACAAGCGCCCGCGCGCCCTTCTCCCCCACTGCCCCCCCTCATGGCGTCACCCTGCTCGGGAGCGGGCACGGCCGGCGGGATGCTCTGAGGGAGCTCAGGTGCATCCCCGAGGCTGCCGGTGCGTGCCGCGCTAAACCCTGCTAAGATTCGCCTCGTCCGCCTCAAGTCGATGCCAGCGGAGAGCGGATCCCCGCGGTTCCTCAGGGCGCCCTCGGTGACACTGGGGCGGCTTCGCTCCAAGGGGGCTCCACTGCTGATGCTCCTGGCGCTGGTTTGACCTTCTGTGCTGGAAAGAAGTTCAGGGTTATGGTGACTGTAGGATTCGTGAAACTGATGCCCCCATCTCAGTTGGATGCCTCTGGGAAAATCTTCCCTTTAAAAAGGACATGGAAGTGCTGGAGTGTGTCCAGCAAAGGGCAGCAAGGCTCATGTAAGGTCTAGAAAACGTGTCTTATGAGGAATGGCTGAGGGATCTGAGTTGGTTTGGTTTCAAGAAGAGGAGGCTCAGGAGGAACCTCATCACTCTCTGGAATAGGTTGCCCAGGAAGGTGGTGGAGCCACCACCCCAGAGGTGCTCAAGAGGCACCGGGATGTGGCACTGGGCAGTGTGGTTCAGTGGTCATGGGGTTACAGGCCAGTGTGGGTGGATGGTTGGACTGCATAATCTTGGAGGTCTCTTCCAACCATGACTTCATGAAATGTGCTCGAAAATCTCCTCAGTGTGCAGCAGCTCATGGAGCAAGTCACAGAGAAATCGGCTGAAGGACAAGTTCTGTGTTGAAGGTTGGGCCCCCACACAGAGCTCAGTGTGTGTTGCTAATATATTTCAATGCCCTTGTCTTTGTTCTGCATGGAAGTAAGTGAAAAATCCCTGCTCTTACACAGGTTTACACATGGAAAAGTAAGACTTCCATGAGAACTCAGTGACACTTGTCACAAGAACTGTTTCTTTGCAGCTCCCAATTTCATTCCCACTCTCGCTAGAGGAAGGAACAGCCACTGTATTTTCTTTGTGTTATGTTCCACTAGGTAGAAGTTAAGTCCAGAAAGGAAAGATGGAAGGAATTGAGGTATAAGATAGAAAAAAAAAAAATGAAAAAGAACAGTTTAAAAAACAAAACAAAACAAGAACAACCACAACAAAAACCTCAAAAAAAACACAAATACCCAAAACATTAAATATAGCAAAGCAGAAAAATGTACATTGTAAATCATCTGGGATTAGTGACAACCTATTGTTATATTGTGATGTTATATTGATTATCACCTGGGCTCCACATAGAATAGAATAGCATTGCTCAGTTGGAGGGGACCTGCAATGATCATTTAGTCCCTGCAGTATGCAGTATGTACAGGGTATGAATCACAACCTAATAGAAGAACACAGAGGTATAGTGGTAAATCAAAATATGCAGCCTCACCTAAGCGGCAATATTTAAAATATTCAAGGAAAGCAGAGCTTATGTATGTTTGCCCTCATGTTCAATGCTGAGCAAGTCTACAGAAGAGCAGATGTGAGAACAGGAGTTGGGTGACAAAGCAAGGTTACTAAGAATAAGCAGGAAATAGGAAGAGGAATCAGAACTAACGTTGTCAAAGAGACAGAGGAACAGGAAGAGAGACAGAAGCCCACAAGAAACAAAGCAAAGTTAGGGGAATGTGGACAGTCTTCAGACTGTAAATACAGAGAATCATTGCTGGATTTGAAAAGTTGAGGAAAATAAAGTATACTTACTGAATTCCACTCTCTGGTTGATATCTTACACAGATCAAGCTGTCCAGCAAAACCCAGTTTTGATACAAGTATTTCCATACAGCAATTTCTTGAGTTATTCATCTCCATTTACAACTTTTCTCTGGCAATTTTATATTAATGGTTTAATTAACCACATTCTAGTTTTGACAGGCAATACAACCTAATTATAACAATGTGAAATATCTCTTTGCACAGTAATATGAAAGGGGAAAAAAGATTGAAGGGCATTCCTTTACACAAACTACATTTTAAAGAGTTATGCCAATTGGTTCACAGGTTCAGAGTATTCTCATGAATATGCAAGAGATTTAATTAAAAATAGAACATGCCCTAATTACATAATTATGCAAGAGAACTGATTCAAAGGAACCACTCCTGCCTTTTGAATAAACAATATTCATTGCTTTCTTCCTATCACACATTTGCTTTAAAAGATTTCCTGCAATTAGCTGCTTACCCCAGGGATGTGAGCATCTCTGAACAAAGCAACTACTCCAGCTATGACCCTGATTCATAATATGCTGGCTAATCAAGTATTTGCATCCTGGCAATTTCCCACATAAACAGCACACACTATAAGCTCCCTCCTGCAGGAAGGCTGATTAGCTCAATGGAGCTATAGTGCAGGGTTACTCCTCTCTGTTTATGGCACACAGCAGAAGTTAGACACAGGACAGAGTTGGTGAAGATGATTTTTCCTCAAGCTACTGCCTGACCTGAAATATCCAAAGAGTTCCTCTTCATTTGGATCTTGTTTTTCCTGTCTCATCTAATGAGAATTATCCAAGTTCATCTAGCAGTTAAAACTATTCACTGCCTGCATTTCCATTTTCTCTTCAGGAACGAGTTATGCTGCATGCCCTGATATTTTGATTAAATTATCGAGACATGCTGTCTCTAGTATAATGCACAATCACAGAATCAATTAGGTTGGAAAAGACCTCTGAGATCATCAGGTCCAACCTATGGCCTAACATCACCATGGCACTAAGTGCCCTGTCCAGTCTTTGCTTAAACACCTCCAAGCATGGTGGCTCCTATGATCCTTTGCCTATCACCAGCAAGGTCACCGTGGTTTGCTGCAGACTTCTGAGTGCACACCAAAACATAACCCCATAACACATTATTTACAGTGCTGGATTCTTTAGTCCCAATATACCAATTTCCCTCTTTCCCTGGAAGAGAGAGGGAGGTTTGTAATTCACAGTGGGAGAGCAGAAAGCAAACAGTTCAACTAATGCAGCACAAAGCTCGGTGGTTTTTGAAGTGCAACAGTGTGAGAAATACACACAGCAAACTGAGGTCAGCTTAACTGACATCCACAAATGGGGCAAGCCTCTAAAGAAATTCAGGTTCACTTCTTTTAAGAAGTGTGAGTCATTTTATTTTACCATTTGTAATGGGCTGACGCTGGCCAAGTGCCACCAGCACACTATTGTACTTTAAAAAATATCCTTCTTGGATATATATCTTAGAGAATCTACCAAAAGAGAATTTTTTTTTTTTAATCTAATCTTATAGTCTATAAAATCTATGACTTCATTTCAGAAATATGGCCACAATAAAGTACTATATTGGAGTAATTTCAACTGCTGCTAAAGTGCTGTTTAAAAGCATCCTGGCAATAATAAATATTGAAAGGCCAGATTCAGCAACCTATCTGGTTTTTCATCACAACCACTTGACAGTTGCATATGTTTTAGTTTGTATTTCCTAAAAGAACGTCCTTTATGGAAAAGAGGAAGCATAAAAACCAGACTCAGAAGTGTAAAGTACCCAGTCCTAGGCACAATTTTAGCCCAACTCTTTTGTTCATATGTGCAATTACTGCATGCAGAGCTACCTTTTTGTCAGGGAGTTCAGGCACATTGGGGTAAAAGGACTGTGTTTTGCTTTGCTTGACTCATTGTCAAATGCCTGAACTTACCATTGGGAACCCACTGTCAGGCAAGGCATTAATTCTAAGTAAAATAAACACTGATCATGATCCTGCTTCCCAAGTCAATAAGCTTTATTTACATGCAAGTGAATTCTCCTTTTTCAGAGTCACAAGGATTTCTAGGAAGCTCTAACAAATGGAAGCCAGTTTGCTTTTCCCTGCTGTTTTCTCTCCACAGAGAAATAACAAGGAAATAAAGCATGCAGTGTTAATTCAAATCTTAACAGTTAATTTCTGTTATATTTTTTAAAACAGAGCAGGATACTTGCACTGGATAATTTGTTAACAAGATTTTTTTAAACTCAGTTATTACAGAGTTGTGCTGCTGCTAAAGTATATAACATACTGAATGAAATTAGCTTTAAAACAATTATGTTATGAAAAACAGACTTCTAAACCTCAGGTAATACAGTTAAAATAATCACTGGAAAGCTAGAGAATTTGCATGCCAATATTAATGTGAACATAGAGGAAAATACTGGAAAGTTTCAGCAACACAGCTATATTTATATATCCCAAGTTCCACTGTTATCTTCAAAGTAGTAAGTGATCAAGGAGCTAAAGATTCCACCCTTTGATAAGTTCTAATACTCTGTGCTATATGAGTTTATAGACACTGTCAGTATTCTCCAAGATCCTTCTTTAAACATCAAAATTCTGAACAGGTTAAGGATTCACAGAGGAGAGCTTGTGATGATAATTAGACTTGTATTTTTACTCCTTGCATTCAAGGAATTTGTTGCCACCTCTACGAGGGAATGTTTACACCACCACACTCACTATGCTCTAGCAGCAATTTCTGCTCTGCCTTCTGTCATACCTCTCATTTCACTGAAAGATGAAGTGACTTTCTTCCTCACTTGTTTCCATGTTCCACAGTCACCTGATGGTTGACTACCAGCACCTTTCTAGCTTGGAAATATTCTCTTCTCCATGTTCACTCTGCATGACTTTTAGTGCTTATGCATGAAGAAAGATAACATCCTATTTAGGTTCCTCCTTTCCTTCCTCCATACTTTCACTTCTCAGTGAGTTTATTCTCCCCTGGGGTTCCAGTTGCTTATTCAAGGTTATGAGGATTATTAATCTCTGCATATGAGTCACAGGAAGTTACATTTATTTCTGTATTCACCTACCTCAGCCACTGAACCATTGCAGAAGTGTATTAGGTCCTCCAGAGGAAATAAAAAACATGCCATGGCTGGAATATCACACAACTGGAATAATAACAGAATAAATTCAGTCTATGGTACAGTACTTCCTGTTCACCCTCCTATATCCTTACTTTCCAGCTGTGACTCCCTTTTTTACCTTTATATTGGGATTAGGCCCAGTATTGATGGGAAATAAGTTTATTCCACAAACACAACAAACAGACTCTTCCAAACACAACATCATGTGTCTTTATCCAAGCCTAGGAACATGTAGGTAAAAGCAGGGGAAGAAAAGCACTTACTCATTTCTAAGTGTCTGCTTTCTTACTGCTTCCATTATCCCCTTCCCTTCCTCAGAACACCAGCTCTTTATTACCTCTATGGTTTGTCAGCATTCCTTTAGAGATCTGCTAATTCATCCAGTTTGCCTGCCAGATTACTTGCAATTAGATTAGGTGAGACTCTTTCCTTGGTTATTTCAGTAGCTATTTTACGATCCTCAGCAAAGGAGACTTATCTATAACCTTTTTTTCATTAAATCCTCCAGAGTTTCATTATGAAAAATGCTTTTTCCTAAAACAACCAACCTGTGAGGGCTGTAATTTCAGTGACACACTAGTGTAAATCTGGGATAATTTCATTAAGCAGTATGAGATTTTTCTTATTTTGAGAAGTGAATGTTAGAAATGTAGGAAAAACGCTATTTGTTTTATAATCAACATCAGGCAGAGGCACAGACTAGAGTATAAACTTGCCTCAGCACCAGGAAAACTGGTGCTTCCTCACACAGATATAGGAGATCTATTCTCTTTATTCTCACTGAGGTTCCTACATACATTTAGAGAAGAAGGAAGCTGTGATTTTTCAGATGCTGCCTTTTGTTAAAGCTTATGCATAAGCTAATCACAAGAAATGCTAATGCCAGTATATGGCTGTATATGACCTTTTCCAAGTAGAAATTTTTACCTACTGATGAAAGAAAGACAACTAAATCTCTGAAGTCTAAAAGCCATTACAGATAAACACCTAATCTGGTCTTTTTCTAAATGTAATTGTCAAAGTCCATTGAAAACCAAGCAGGCTCTTGCACTTCCTACCCAAGAACATCACTCCTTCACTATGCATTCTCAAGGGTAATATATACATATAGATATTATGCCAAATTGTGTTATTTTTTTCCTGGCTCTTTTCCCTGGCTACTGATTGTCCTCATTTCTCTATGTGTTTGCATTTCTAAGGAAGTCCTCACAGATAGGACTTTTTTTTTATATGTTTAATTAAATTATTGTAGAAAAAGAACATTCTTTCCTACTTAACTCTCTTAGCTGGTTCTTCTTCCACTCACCTGTGCAGTAGATTCTGCACACCTTTCTCCCCTCATGACCATCAATTTGCTTGGCTAAACAAACTGAACTCTTAATCTCTTTTAAAGAGATTCTACATCTCCCTGATTATTCAATTTACTTTTCTCTGCTCTGTTTTCTTCATCTTCCTTGAGCCTAAAGAGCTGCAATCGTTTGTGCCATGGTCACTACCCGAAATGTTTGTTCCCAAGTCAGATTTACCAGTAAACCTCCCTTACATTTAGTGTATTCCTTTTCTGCACATGGCACAGTAATTGCCAAATTTGATACCCCTTTCTTTTGTTAAATGCTTTTCTCTCTTCCTTAGCTAATGCTCTATATGGAATTATACCAAATTCACTTGGCATTCAAGGTCGATTAGAATTTCTCATTTTTTATGGGAGGCCACTGTACATTCACTTTTCATTGTTGGAGTTTATCTTAAGTTTGTGTTAAGAGGGTATTTCAGGGGCAGTACCCAGCTGCACTATACTGGGGATTTCATGGTAATACAGTTTGCCCCAAGGGAAAGGGAAATGGAAATGCTTCTGCTGTGTGACAATGGTTTCTGTCATTTCTGTGCCAATGACCAATTATGTCTGTACAGAAAATGGCTTCTCTGAATGTGCCCGTGGCAAGATGGATGGTAGACAGGACCTGGGGCTGAGAAGGGCAGAGTCACTCTAAAAATCAATAGCAAACAGAACTGTCTGTGCTGGATATTTTGTTCCTCATGCTGTCTCCTGGGAAACAGAGCAGATGCAGGGTAAGGACAGATGATCTCCCTCCATGGGCCCGTCTCTAACCCAGCCTACCCACACTCAGTGTGCCCCCTGCATTTAGGGGATGTGGAAGGAGGCCTGAGAAAGCAGCCTTGTAGGTGTCTATTCATGAAGAAAACAATTCCTCCTCCACCTGTGTAGAGGTTTTTTATTCACCAGTATAGGTATAAAAAAAACAGTGAGAGGATGTTATTAGTTTGACAAGTTTGGCAGACACTGCTGCATCACATCATGTTCTGAAGGTTTTCCTTGTGCCAAAGACTAGATTTAATTTAGGTAATTTATGCAGCAACCAGCTAAGGAGGCAGTTACCTCATTGGTATGTAGGTCATTACAGATATTCTGAGGCTACAATTTTACTTTAGAGGACAATTATAAATAAGAATTTAAAGCAGGACTCCTTGGCCTTTGACTTTGGTGGTCAGCTGGGCATAGGAAAATTCACAGAGTGGAGCTTGTAGTAATTTCTTTGAAGGAAAAAATCCACGCTGCCATGGTTATCTATGACAGCACTGTCACCTAAAACACCTGGACTGTTGGAGGTGTTCTGATTACAGAGAGCAGTTCACTCTGCCACACCAATTAACTACAGCCTCCTGGGAAAGTCCTAGGGAATTGCTGAAACATGCCATATGCATGGCATTTAGATTTTAAATCCATGTATTTTAACATAAGATTATTCCTTAATGTCTAAAATTATTATCTGAATGAAAGCTCAAATTGAAACATATTGAAATTGTTGAATATATTGAAATTGTTTCAAAGACATATATAGTGCAGTTTTTTATCAAAGTTTACCTATTGAAGATAATGTGGCTGCAAACAGGAACTGACACATGCCTCACTTAAAACTAAGACAAAGCTGGGAACAACTGATAAATATAAATTAGCCATGAAAGTGAAATGCACTGCCTACACAGTGTTACACCTCATATTACATGCTGAAGGGCCACAAAGTACACCATCACCATATGTTTGAAAGCTGCCATGACTCACACAGAGGAGGCTGATGAGTAACATATCTTCCTTCCCCAGTGTATAGCACTGACCAGAAATCTCCCCTGTAAATGGTTCCATCGTGGGCAGCAGCTGAACGTGCCCTTCATCCTTGTAATTAACTACAGAACTGTAAAATGGTGCTGCCAGGTTTACTGTGCACCAATGCAGAAAGCACTCTAAATTCCTTTAAAGGATGGTTCACACATTTGTCATTTCCCATCCCACTCATTTTGCAGCCAAAAGAGGCTGGAATGCTGTGTTAACCATCTTTTAAATTAATTTAACTTCTTTTCTATCTCTTTTTACTTATGAATTCTGAATGAATATTCATACGAACACTCCTATGAATTTGGTTATGAATTTTTGGTTATGAGTTCTGTTGGTAGTGCCCAAAACCAAAGTCCATATTGTAAACAAGTAAGATTGCTTTTCTAATTTACATGTAAACATATAGTAGCTATAAATACTGAAATGACATTGTTAATTACATACAAACATTGAGTGCTAGGTGGCTGTTTGATAATACCTATAAATTACAGACTCAAGTCAGTAAGTAATAAGCTGCTTTGTTTCTTTTAGAGAAACTGTGAACCTCATGATTTAAAAGCCTGAGAAAAAAATGTTCCTGAGATGGAGAAGTGCTCTGCACAGTGGCAGCTCTTCAGCCACCTTGTCCCTGTTTTACTCAGTCCTGTGGAGCTCAGATTTAGGGCTGAGATACCCTGGTAACTCAGACATGCCCAGCAAGCCCTCAGGTGTCCCCCCGAATAGAGCCCCTTTTGCCCAGCAGCAAAAAGGGGAGAGGCAGCAAACAAAATTAATTTTAAGCATCTCTTGTCAATTCAAGTTGCTCTATAATATCCTATGGCAGAACTGATTTTTTTCTTTGAAGTGAGCTGGATTTTTTCCTTGGCACAAATTGGCACCTGTGGCTATTTACTCATATGTCAGCTTAGTATTTTGTTCTGTTTTCCATGATGGAATTTTTCATGAGGCCTGAGGAAACTGGAGGTTTTCCAAACATGACAGTAAAAGTGAGATGCTATTTTGGTAAATGTGAAAAGAAGATTGATAAATTCAGAAGACATTTTCTTACATATTCATTGGAACTTAGTTTCCATTTTGTCTTCCATTCTTATAAAATTTTGAACAAATAAGTGTTTTCCCCTAAGTATTTATTGTAGAGTTACTAAGGTTAGAACTGACTGGACTTGGTTTGTTGCAGAATATTTATGCTGTGTCACACCAGCTATTTTCTATATGACACTCCAGGGTAATACAACCACTTGGAAAGCAATCAAGGCAGTGAGACTCTTTTGAAATTTGAAATTCATGGATTTTGTCTACTCAAATAGCCTTAACTACAAAGTCTGTTTTGCAAAACAGCACATACCCCCTCTGCTCTCTCCCAAGAATTTAGACTTTTAATTATTTGAGTCATTCCAGGAATTAAAGTCTGTAGCTTTTCTGGAACCCTTTAAAAACAGCCAGTGTATGCTACACCCCAGTCATGATTTTTCCATGGCAAGGATTTCTTACAATTTGTCAACAGGAAGTTCTTTTACAATGAGATATGAATAGTGACCTGAATTTCTTACGATTCTGAAACTTGTGTTTTGCCTGTTAATGTGTTTTGGCTCAGCTGATGGAAGTATCACAGCCAAGTCTGCAGCTGAATCATATCAGTGGGTTCTTTGGAGGCAGCAGTGTGAGCAGAGCACTGCTGAGTGCCAGAAAGCCTGGACTGGCAGGGGGCTGCTGCAAACTCATCCCACACATGGTCCATCACAGTGGCTTCAGGGCTGCTCCGGCTTGGGCTGGTGCTCGTTGCCTCCTGGCAGCCTCAGGAGATGCATGCAGACATTTTTGCTGCCTCCTGCTGTCTCAAGCAGTCACAACACACCTGGAACCAGCCTAAGGATGAGACCTGTAAGCAAAATCACTGTGCCTTTCCCTGCAAAATACAAGAAACTCAATTAAATGGGTGTTTGGTTTGAACCACAAGCCAAAACTACAAGCCAGTGTATGGAATGGACCATGTCTTCTAGAGCTGATTTTGACTCTAGATAAGTCACTACATAGTGATACTTCTGAGTAAGATCAGACTTGAAAAGGGATCATGTAATTTTTTGCCTTTACTATTTCTAGCCCCATGTACTATTCTTGCACTTCCACAGCATCTGCTGTTTGAATATATCACTCAAGTAAATCTCACAATACTTGGGTAAATCTTAATCCATTAATGCATGCAAAGCCAAGGCACAAAGAAGTGATTTATATAATTGTGAATACTAATGAGTATGTGATGAGTATGTGCTTCAAGATGATTACATTCCATGCACTTATAAACTCTTCTCAAGACATAAACTGTTAAGAAATAAAATGAGCTTTGCTTCCCTTACTAGTTTGTTTGTTTTTTTTTTTTTAGAAATAAACTTGAATATTCAATTGTGGGTTTATTATTCTGTGAATCAGTTTACAGTGATCAGTGGATATAATTTTTAGTATGAAAATGTTATTTGTGCATATTACAGTTCCAGGCATACATTATCCTTTCATGAAAACATTTCAATCTTCAAGTCATTATGCAAAAGATTGGCCCGTGGGCTCTGCACAGGATGTAAATTAACTTCTTGTTTGGCTAAATCTGATTACCCTGTAGGGTACCAATCTTGCTGAGTGACAGTGGAAGCTAAAAATTGCAAGCAGGACAGTCCACTTGAAATAGGGCCAGGAAGGGTCAGTTTCTAAACAGCAAACCTGAAGTTTGAACTAGATTTTAATAGCATGCCTAAGAATTTTCAGTTAAACATAGAAGCTGTCTCCTCCATAACCGCTATCATTGCTTTTAAATATCATAATGAAATTGAGAAAAGCTCTTCCTTTTTTTAAGTCCAAGTCTTTATTAATCATATGTAAAGATACTGCAATCACTTTAACCCAGCCTTTAGTCAGTCTGCAGCTTAATTCCCATTTGACACTTCCTTTCTCCTCTCATTTTCTATTAAAATTAATGGTCCAACAGAGAAATTCAGTGAATAGCAAAATGCCACACAATATCAAAACAAAATCACCTCAAGTCAATACAAACTAAACCTATTTGAATATTATCAAAATAATGTTGCTTTTTTGTGAACTTACTGAGCATATGAGAGAGACTAAAAAGGCACATGCTGACACTACTGAATATGAACTACTGCTGTTCCTTCTGACAGGATTAGCTAAATACTTAAATGATAAGAACACTCCCCTGTATTTTTCCTATATTCAGAAGATGTGCACAGAAAAGTCACTCTTTGATCTATTTCACTAGCTTCAGTTACTGTAGCAGGCTTTTGTATACATAAAAATTTTATTTTTAGTAGTCTTTGGCATCTCCTTAGCTTTCCTTTGATGTCTAAAGGTTTTATGATCAATAATATCTAAAAGCAGCTGGTGTTATTGCAATTGCTCTGAGTCAAGGATAAAACCCAACAAAAGTAATGCAACACTGGTGAAAATGATACAGCTCTTGGCTATTCAGAAAATGTAATTATCTCAGTAAATGCATGTGGTTTTTGGTAATGAGATTCAAAATTTCAGACAGATTAATTTTAATAACATCTTTTCACAGTGGTTCTATTAGATATTTTAAATCTATTTAAATCAGACCTCAACACTTACCTAATAAATACCTCACTCCCTCAATAGGTTTTAGATGAAGGGACTCAGCACTCCACACAGAATCCTAATGAACTTAAAGGGGGAAAAGGATAAAACCAGGGCTGGAGATAGCCTGGGGCAACACGCCAGTGTCTGAGGGATGGTGTGCTGGGGAGCTCCTTTCATCTGTTGTCTCATGGAGACTGGGGATGGATTTCCATGTGGCAGCAGTGACACAAGGGATATTGATGTGTTGGAAACCCCAGAAGTGCCTGAGAATGATCAAATGGAAGGTCCTGCTTGACTGACCCAATGTCCTTCTGTGACAAGATGACCTGCAGAGAGGATGAGGGAAAGACTGTGGATGTTCCCTTCTAGACTTCAGTAAAGCTTTGACAGCATTTTCCACAGTATTCTCCTGGAGAAACTGGCTGCTCATGGCTTGGATGGGTGCACTCTTCTATGTTAAACTGCCTGGATGGCTGAGTCCAGAGTGCTGGTGAATGTGCTGCATCCATTTAGCACCCAGTCACAAGCAGTGGTTCCTAGGGAGCAGTGTGGGGCCAGTTCTGTTCAATATCTTCATCAATGACCAGGATGAGGGATCCAGGACCCCCTCAGTCTGCAGAAGACACCAAGCTGGGCAGGAGTGTGATCTGCTGGAAGGCTCTGGACAGGCTGGATTGATGGGCCAAGGCAATGGTGTGAGGTCAACACGGTCCTGTCAACAGTGTCAGACCATGAGGTAAGAGTGTGCCCAGGTGGCCAAGAAGGCCAAAGCCATCCTGGCCTGTGCCAGCAGTGGTGTGGCCAGCAGGAGCAGGACAGTGACCATTCCCTGTACTCTGCACTGGTCACAGCCATCCTGGCCAGTGTCAGCAGTGTCGTGGCCAGCAGGAGCAGGGCAGTGAACATTCCCCTCAGCTGCTGTGTGCAGTTCTGGGCCCCTCACTTCAGGAAGGACAGGGAGGTCACTGCTGGAGTGTTTCTGCTCTCTGCAACCACCCCAGAGGAGGTTCTGGAGAGGTGAGAGTCGCTCTCTCAAGTCACAAGCAATGGGAGAGGAAATGGCTGGAAGCTGCACCAGGGGAAGTTGAGATACTAGGAATAATTTCTTCACCAGAAGGGTTGTCAGGCAGCTGAACAGGCTGCTCAGGGAGATGGTTGAGTCACTGTCCCTGGAGGTATTTAAAAGACAAAGCAGCTCACAGCTTAATCCTAGCACGGTCCAGTGTATGCTGATACTGGTTTTGGGTGACAAACACTAAAATTGCATGTTCAGAAAACAGTTTTAACTGTGAATTCACAGAAGCACGATCAAAACCTTCCATTTGAATTCCCACAGCTCCCCCATGCCAAATAACACATATCTGCATGATGAGGCACATTAACTCATCTGACATCGAACAGTTTTTTTCCTTGGATTAGTTTGAGTAGTGAATCAATTTCCTGATCTGGTTCAGCAGGCAGACACAAAAATGTCTGTGCTAATGGAAGTGAGCAGCTCAGAAAATGAAAATGCTTTTGATTGACCTCTACCCATTTAAAGCATATGTGAAACTACCTTAGGGATGTTCTACACAGGCTGTCAGAACATATGGCCATTAACCACCAGTCCACTGGGGCTCTGGTCTCCCATTCTGGGATATTTTCTTGTGTTATCCAATTATTGTTTTACATCAGAACTACCTATTAAAGTGTGCATTCACATTGTGGTCAGAGCTTACATACTGTAAGATATGATTTACTGTAAAGCCCTGAAGAATTATATGACATACCCACTATAGTCTATTTCAAAAATTTATTTTCCTAAACATGGTATTTTGTAAATTTTTAATATATACCCTTTACAGTAATTGATGCAATGTAACATTCACAAATATTTTCAAAGTGTTGGCTATTATCTCAGCAAACACCATTAATCACTGTTTTCATTTACTAATAATATGTAAAACCACAATTCAGTGGCCACTTTAGCCTGATAATATCATAATTGTATGAAAAACACTGTGATCTGCTGCTATATCAGTAATTTATTTCATTTATTTCATTTTGCAGAAAATTATTATAGCTGATGTGGACAAAGCTCTTTTTGCTCCAGCTGAAAAAAAGTCTGTGAACAAACCATATCATGTTTGGACATGAAAAATAGGTCAATGGCTACTGAGATGATGCTTCCAAAAGCAGAACCTTCCCTACAGCACAGCTTTAGGAAAACACTTCATCTGACAGCATACATTCTTTTTAACAAAATCCTCTTAGTAGGTACTGGATTAAAAAAAGTAATTTAACAGTATAAATGGATAGAGAGAAGATAGTGAGGAATGAGACTTCTTTCAATTTAAAAATGGCATAATATTTCAGGATTTCACTTGAACCAAGCTCCTTTCAATTGCTGTTACCTACCTGGAGGCCACAAAAACAACCCTCAGACAAGTTATTTTCAGTGCTTTGGAGAAGCTGGTGAGAATAGCACACTTTTGGGGTTAGAAATTAACCAGGAGAAAGCAGTGCATGATTGTAGTAATGCCATTCTTCATGCAGGAGTTACCAGTTTTGTCTTCCACCAAGATTAAATGACAGGTAGCACATTTGTTAAATTGCTCAGCAATTAAAACATTTACCAACCATGGATCAGAGGAGCTCCTGTCCAAGGGAGGCACATTTCTCTTAATTAAAAAAAAGAAAATCTAAGAAGATCCTATTGCACAGCACTTTATATGAAATCATACCTTAAATCTTTATGAAAAATAGCAGATAATCACACTGTAGAGAGGATTATTTTAAATTGATTGCATATATACTCTCAATTCAAACTTGTTTCTTCATCCCTATTGTATTACTTATGGATAGCTACTGCCCCAGACAGGCAACTGCTGCAAAATGAGGAATTTTTGTCCTTATATACCAATATAGTTAGTGGAGACATCATTCTGAGACCAGACTTCAGGTGCAGCACACAATCTCATATTATTTAGCAGCCATAAGTCTATAGTAAAAACAGGACACTCATTACCCATTCCATCTGACATGAACAAGGAAGAGCTTTTAAATGTTTTCTTCGTTGTGTTTTGGTGGAGAAATATTTTAGATACTCCTGGAATAAAGAGTAAAGGAAATCTACATACTGATTATAAATTAAGACCAGTGTTGACTTTTATTTACATAGTTGTACAAGCAAATTCAAGTAATTATTGCATCAATCATTCAGATTTTGAACATTACTAAAAACCACAATTTTATAACATGCAGTGTTGCATTCTTCATGGAGCTGTGATTACTGTTCTACATTTCTCTTTCTCCCACGAAGCCACCTCAGACCTCTCATCAGTGCAACTTGTCCCATGAGGAATGTGATCCTAAAGTTATGTTTATACCAATCTCTAGGATTCCAAAGCCAAGAAAATCATCAGCACACAGAACAAGAACAGGAAAAAAATACACAAATATATTAAAATATCCTTTGGCATTGCCAAATTGTGTTCTTTGTGGAAACCCTTTTCCTGCCTACTAAGAGTTAAATAACCTATGAAAAACTCTATGTGTATATCCACATTCAGGAACAGACTGCACATGGATTACATGGTTGCAACTGCATTTGAAATCAGGTGAGATACAACAGTTAAAATCATGTCTCATGTTTCAGAAGTAAAGCAGATTACCAAGCTATCTGGACTACATGCCAGTGCTGTACTTCAAGTAAAATTTGTTTGTGTGTGGATAAAGATGCCTGTGTTAAAAAGGGCAGAGTTGGTCTCATACAAGGGTGGCAAAAATAAAATCCAATCACACTTCAAAGGCTAATTGTATAACCCAACATTACCCTTCTACTGCAGTATCTTTTAAAGATAATGCCTTTAATATTGTCAGTTAGTCTATATCTTTAAATAATTTTTTATTAATCATGCACTGCTTCTGGAACCAATTAAAATTATTCACAGTATAGGCTGCATCAACCCTTTTTGACCTCTGCAAACTTGCTTCAAATTCTTTGCCCCTGTTACAAATTAAAATAACATCAAATTTTTTTTTCTAGTTTCTAATAAGGATCTCACTTCCATGTTGTAAAATGCTCACAAGAAGCAATAGGATAGAATAGAATTCTGTAACTAGAACACTAGGATTTAGGTCTTCTCCTGAGATGTCTGGGGCAAACCTTGCATGCACAGATCTAACATAAGCCTGAGATAGCAGCCTCTCAGTGAGGACAGCAGCCAAATTCACACTGACAGGCAGCACTGAGCTACCCCTTCAATTGTCATGTTAAATAAAAGTATCATGCTAGCATTGCAACTGTTTCTTTTCCCCTTTCACCTTTAATTTCCTATATCCTTCTTGAATTTTTTTCCAAAACTAAACTCTATTTCCAGTCTAAGTACCCTGAACTAAATATTCAAGGCATCTATGCACAGTCATTGCTTCAATTTTAACTACATTTTAGGAGTTGCAACACTTCAGCTGCCAGTTTTCAGGCCAGCTGGCAATACTGCAAAAGAACATACAGCTAAATGCATCAACAGATTTTTATAAATATGACCCCTCAAAATCAGACTGCCTGTAAAAAGCTCTGCTGTTTTCAGGGCTGTGCAGTTCCACTTTGAAACTACAACAATGCAGCCAACACAACCTGATTTTCCAAGTCAGCAGCAAGGAAGGTCATCTTTAAGCACAAAGCCTGAATTTTCTTCCCCTGAAGATGGGATGCTATCCTAAAGTCACTACAACAATGGCAACTGGAAACCAGTTCTAAGAGGAACTATTTGCATTCCCACTTATCAATTCTAGGCAATGTACTGGCAATCCTTTCACTAAAAACAATTCCTTACTTTGCATCTTTTCATGCTGTTGTTCTGGATTATGATGAGGTTCCCCCTGCCCCTCCATGGGCAAGTTAAGATGTGTAGATTTAAATATTTGTTAGTTAAATTGTTCTTACAGGATTTTACAGTGTTTTGTGGTTTATGTACAATATACAAAGAAACTCAAGCCACCATTGGTTACAGACCAGCTGCAGTGATGGCAGAACTCTCACTAGCATTATGCCATGAGGAACCCAGTCACACCTGATATTTGAGCCCAATAACCTCCCAATCCAGTACAAGAGGAAACTGCAGTTGTGCTTTCACATTCAGTGGTCAGCATTGCTGGATTAAGTGCTGTCTTCCCTCACCTTCCCATTCCTCCCTCACTTCTAGCCCCTTTTCAAGTGTGCACAGCTACCTGCAGGGGTATGTGAGTTTGCAAGTCATTTTTCACCCCTTTCAGATCCCCAGTCCAGTTTATTGAGTTGTTGTACACACAGTAACACTGAAACAAGGCAGGAGATGCTCTGAAGAGTTGGATGTGGGTTCACCAAGCTGCAGCTGAGGTTCTACCCAGGACAGGTGATCAATTTATGCCTTGTCAAACTCAAAAGCTGATCACTTTTTTTTACTAGATACTTGCAAAACAACAGACCCAGGATTATTAAATATTACTCCCATGAAATGATTGTCCTTTGAGATAAATCACATTTACTTGTTCTTATTTAAGAGTCAGCTAGAATCTGTTATACAGAACTTTCAAGTGGTCTATTTGCATATTTATCAGTTTCAATTAGCAGCATGAAAAGACCTGTGCCCTAAGATAATAAAATGTGCCTGATCTTGTCTCTTTAAATCTCAGACTTGAGCTTATCTTTCCACTAAAACAAAAATAAGCAGCAGCAGAACTCAAATGATAATGCAGATTTGTCAAATGCTAATAACAGCATTAAAAAAATAATTTTCCAAAATTACAGAGGTTTGTGCTGTTTTACCAATTACAGAAAAACCATTCAAATTTTAAACTTCATCTTATATCTTTCACTTAAACTGTAATTTATAATGGTCAACATAAACACTTTCTACATACCTGTTGTACTGCAAATGCTTTTTAAAATTTTTACTTAGAAAGTCCTTGTAAAAGTCAGCCATTTCTTCTGCACTCAGTGTTGCTTTTTGACCTGAAAATAGGTTTTTGGTGTAACAAAGTCAAGGCAATTCTTTGGACCAAAACACTGGGTTCAGATGTTAAGTCTAACTCCTTGCTCCTACAAGCTTTCTGTATAAACCTGAACAAATTAATGCCTTTAACTTTCAACCTTTTAAGATTTATCTAGAGAGCACAGCAGATTAAAAATACTGATCATCTTGAAGCTGGCATAGTTCTTAAACCCCTATTACTTGTGGAAGTAATAAAGTTTATCAGCTCTTAGACTATTTAGGGAAGCAGTGAGCCCCTATGAAAATGTGCATAGATCTAGGAGTATCTTCCTTTGAATAAAATAATTTCTCACAGGCTGAAGCCTAAAGAGTACCAATAAGAGCATTTAGTAACTTAATTTCCCCCCCTAAAGCAAGTCCATAAATATCAAAAGAAGACTATCCACAACTGACATAGTATTTTCAGATGTAATTCTTTTTCTATTACTGTTAATAAATTCCAAGTAACTTCAGGCAAAAAGTTTATGTTCTGAGATATGAGACTTCCAAACAATCTAGCAGGCAATTATTTTGAGAACCAAAGATGATTTTGAATATGTCACTCATAACCAGAAAATAAAAGGTCCAGGAAGACCTGTGGCTACAGCACAAGATGTCTAATCCTGAGAACCAGCAAATATTCTCAACTCTACCAGACAATTCCTACACAACCCTTCTGGCACAAAATGTCCCTAAAATGACAGTCAAATTTCAGTGCCCCAGGGAACATGGATATGATGAGGGAAATGGAATTGCAATATTCAACTTGCCATGCTTCCAAAATGCATTTTAAGGCTTTTGAGATTGACCACAGAAATGTAAATTATTGATTGGTTCTATTTGTCATTATTAAAAAAAATTAATATACCACAATGTATTAACATACTATGGGATAAATTAACTATAAAACCATTTGAAAACTGCCAGGTTAATACTTACAGTTAATTTGTTTCTTCATACTGGTATCAGAAAACTGATTAATTACATAGGAAAGTAAGTTCTGTTCCAACTGTTTGTGTATATTTTTATTTGTACAAACATTCACAGCTGTATTATAGAATAGCTGACCAAGGCCATGCAGTTGATATAGATTTATTTTTAATGGAAGTATGTGATCACTCTCTTTTACTTCTAGAGTATAAAAGCAAAACAAAAACCCCAACAAAACAGCAATGTAAAAGAAGTGGGTTTGAAACAACATAAATCTTAATTAAAATTACTTCTCAAGCAGTGATCACCAGAATACAAACAGAAAAGAAAAATAATGGTCTGTGACATACAGAACATCAGAGCAGATGCTTCACTGAACTCAAACAGATCATTATTCTCTGAACAACGTGTTCAACCTCATACTACAATGCCCAATTCACCATTAGTATGAAGGCATTTTGTTTCCATTTTCACACAATGAATTAGAGGGACAACTATTTTATAGCTACTGTGCCCAGGCAGAGACAGGCAGACAGCAGCTGCCTTACCCCCACTCAAGGAAAAATATTGTGTTCACTGGACACACCATGGACCTGGAGCCAAAGACTGTGAATTTATCCCCCATCCATAACATGCACTTGAGGCAAATGCTCTGTGTGTTTATCTCAGGCAGCTCACCAGCTTAGGAGGTGTGAAAGTAAAAAGTCCCTTCCTCCTCCTCAGGCTACACAATTATTACATTACTGGGCTAGGATTTCAGCACATTCCCTCAGGCTGCAGGGAAGGAATTAGGGGGAGAACAGTGCAAGAGATGATCTGACCCCCACATGCACGTCTCTGAAAAGCTCCTTGTCTCTTTTATTATCACACTCCTGAAAACAGCTCTAAATCCTACCCCTAAGAGTTACTTGTGACAGAACACAAAGAGCTAACAAAATTCAAAGTTAAGCAGAATTCAGAATGCATCCTAAATTATTAACAAAGATCCCACTAACCTGATTCATCTCTCATTTCCAGACCCTTGGCTTTCAGTCTTGAATAAATAAATTCTTCTTTTTCCTAAAACATGTTTTTCCACATTAGAATGGGATGTAGTCAGTCCTTGAAGTTAACCATTGGTTTTAATTACATAGCAATGTGGTGTTCAACACCCTTTGAAATAACCAGCAATACTTGTTATACTTGCAAGTGTCAACTGAACACTGTTCTTAGTCTAGTGAGTTAAACTGGTCACTTAGATCCTGCTACCTGCATGCATCAATTAATTCATGCAAGTGTCCTACTGATACTCATAAAACTGATTTGTGGAGTAAAGCTACAGCCAAACTTCAGTGTTGTTTGACAGAAGTCAAACTTTCAGTTTATAAAACAAACTGTGGAAATGTGCTGTACTGTATGACTGAGATTTTGAGCATAGAGGAAAACACGCAGCCTAAAAAATTAAAATTATTTAGACACAATAATAATTTGTGTGTGAGTTTTACAGACATAAAAACAGTTCTGTGGAATTAAAAAAAACCAAGCTTCATCTTTTCTGGGATCTTTGCAAGTTTTGAGAGGATATGACGTTCAACATCATAAACAATGGTGAATTACTGAACTGTTACTGTTTTTTCCAAAAAATGCCACATTGGCTGGGAGATGCTAAAATCAGGAAAGATGGACTCACTTTAGCCTTGCTGGGATGTGCTGCCAGTGAAATGGGACATATCATTTACCCTCATTTAGTCTTGGTAATTACACCAAATTTCTCTCACTTATGACAAGAGAAAAACCAGCCATGAAATAATTTTCAACACCTACTCTAGCCACAGACAGGTCCAGCATGTCGGGCAGCTACAACTTTATACTTTCAGTGCAAGACAGCAAAAAGGCAAATACTCTATGCCACTAGGCAGCAAGAAAACACGGGGGATTTTTAGTTTTGTGCATTATTTAAATAAATGAAGGACAAAACCATCGTTTCCCCCGTGACCCTGAGGGCGTTAACAGCGGGCAGAAGCGAGCCCCGCGTTTCGGGCAGGCAGGGCAGCAGCAGCGGCCCCGGCGGGCTCACCTGGCGGAAGGCGCGGTTGTGCCGTGCCCAGAAGCGCTGGTTGCTGGCCTGCGCCTCCTGGCGCGCCTCCCGCAGGCGCCGCTCCAGCGCCGACTCCTCGGGGGGCACGTAGAAGATGACGGGGCGCAGGTTGGAGTGCTTGTCCGGGGGCCCGATCCAGTCGCTGTGCGAGTGTGGAGGGGGACGGAAACCCAGGCCCTGCAAACACAGACACAGCGCGTTACAAGCACCGCTGCGGAGCTGCTGAAGGACCTCGCAATGTGGAATAAATTCCCAAACGCCACGAAGCCTTAAAGCATGCAAGCATAGCAAGTTCAGAAATAAAGCACATTTATTTACTGTGACTGGGTACTTTTTTTTAATCTTTTGTTTGTTTGTTTTCATTTTTCTACCACTGACACTCTGTTAAAATATTTCACGGAGAGAACCAGCAAGTGTATCCACGTTTTTTGCGGCGCTGATCTCTGCCCTCTGGCGACCAGTGCTAGCACCCGAGGGAACAGTGAAGCTGTGGCAGGGGAAGTTTAGGCTGGATTTTAAAGGCTCTTCACCCAGAGGGCTGAGGGTCACCGGAACAGACTCCCCAAGGATGGGGTCACGGCCCCAAGCGTGACAACCTCAAGGAGCTTTTGGACAACTCTCTCAGTGGTGCGAATCTTAGGGCTGTTCTGTGCAGGGCCACGAAACGGATTTCGGTGATCTTTCTGGGGGCCTAGAAATTCATATTTTATAATTCTGCGATTCTAAGTTTTCCCCAGCCTGGCGTTCTTCCTGCATCCCTGTGCCCACACACAGGCGTGTGCCTGCCCCAGCCGGGTTCGGAACACCTGGGGTTAGCCCACAGCCCGGCCCTCAGCGCCCCTCCAACACCCAACACCGGGAGCCTCGGCAAACACATCAAAACCAGAGGCCGCGGGGATCGCGGTTTGCTGCCGGCTGCCCCCGCCCTGCCGGCGTTACCGGGAGGCAGTCAGAGCGCTCCCCGCTCAGGGCTCCGCGGAGCCGGCGGCCCCCGAGGCTGCCCCCGCCACCCCCCGCCGGGTTTACCACGCTGTCCGGCCGCTCCCCGCGCTCCGCCGCGCGGCCGCTGCCGGAGGAGGCGGAGGAGGAAGCGGAGGAGAGGGGGTGGCGGCGATAACAGCCACCGGCCCGCAGCACCCGGGCGGCCGCCATGGCCCGGCGCTTTACGGCGCTGCCGTGCGGGGGCTACGGGCGGGGCGGGGCCAGGTCGGGGCCGGGCCCGGGCCCGGGCCCGCCTCGGCCTCCGCCTCCCTCTGCGCGGCCGGGCCGGGCGGGGCTCGGGCGGTTCGCGGCGCTCGGCCCGTGGCGCAGCGCCGGGCCGGGCAGCGGGTCCTCGCCGGGCGGCGGGTGAGTGAGTGAGCGACGGCGGCGGGTCGCGGGCGCCGCGCGGGTTCGCTGCGGGGCCGGTGGGGACGAGCCTCCCGCAGGTGCCTCGGCGGCGGCCCGGTGTCATTTCATCTTCGCGCTGCGCCGGGCCCCATCGCGGGGGAGGCGGGAGGTTGCGGCCATGGCGGGGGCGTCGAGTTCAAAGAGGCACCACCAAGGTATGTGCGGGGACGGAGCGCTGCCCCGCGGCTGTGGCGCCCGAGGGCCGTCGGGTTCGGCCGCTGTTCTCCCCTCGCTCCGGGTTCTCCCTGGGCTGCGGGTGCTCTGTTTGTTCTGCGGCGGCTTCGGCTGCAGAGCAGGTGGGGAAGGCTGGGGGTGAGCAGCCTAGAGCTGGGCGTGCGGCAAATAAAGCGTCGCCCCTGCGGCCCGGCGGGGAGAAAGGTGTAAAAAAATTGAAGGGTTGCGAAATATCAGCTGAGCGGTTTATTCGTATTGGTGAAGGTACTTAAAATAGCTGTAGTGCTGAAGTGCTTCAGAATGTAGAAGTTGCAATGTGTGCTCGTGTAGCACTTAAGCAAGTCTTGTTCTCGTTTTCCTTGTAGTTCGTCAGAAGCCGGACGGGGGAAGAGGAATGGATATGGGTAACCAACACCCATCCGTGAAACGGTTACATGAGATACAGAAACAAGTCAAAGAGATCGAACAGCAAGTGGCTGTCTTCAGCGGTCTGTCCACCGACCGAGATTACAAGGAACTGGAAAGAAACCTTACGAAACAGCTTTTTGAGATCGATTCTGTGGACACCGAAGGGAAGGGCGATATCCAGCAGGCCAGAAAGCGAGCTGCCCAGGAAACTGAGAGGCTGCTGAAGGAACTGGAACAAAATGCAAACCATCCGCGCAGACTGGAAATAGAGGCTTTATTCAAGGAGGCACAGGCTCTTGTGGAACGCGAGATCACACCTTTTTACGAAGGAGGAAACGGTATAAGTGATGAATTTGAAGAAGGCATTCAGGACATTGTGCTGAGGCTTACCCAGGTGAAAACTGGAGGGAAAATTTCTCTACGCAAAGCAAGATACCGGACTCTGACAAAGATATGTACTGTCCAGGAGATTATAGAGAATGCTGTGAAGAAACAGCTGTCCCTGCCACTCTCTAATGATGTTCATCCTTCTGTCTCCAAAATTAACTCTGTAATGTGTGAGGTGAACAAAGCCAGAGGAACTCTCATTGCGCTTTTAATGGGAGTGAGTAGCAATGATACCTGCAGGCATCTGTCCTGTGTGCTCACAGGCCTCATTGCTGATTTGGATGCTTTAGATGTCTGTGGTCGCACGGAAATAAGAAACTACAGAAAGGAAGTAGTAGAAGAGATTAATAGATTACAGAAATACCTGGACTTGGATGAAGAAGCAAATTCTACTCAGGCTTATGATTTGGCAAAAAATCAGTCCATTCTGAAAATAGAAGAGATCCGTAAGAAGATGAAGGAAGTTCATTCCTTACTTCTAAAAACAGAGAATGCCTCTGATTTGTATCTGGGATTGAAAGCAGAGTTGCAGGGACTAATTGCCCACCTAGATGAAGTGAGTCCAGGAAAAAATCCCTGTATTAGAGAGGCCAGGAGAAGAGCAGTAATTGAAGTTCAGACTCTTATAACATATATTGATTTGAATGAAGCGCTGGAAAAAAGGCAAAAGTATCCAGAGCAAACTGCTGTTGAACATCGTTGTCATAAAGCAGTTTGGACTGTACTTGGAAACTTGTCTCAAATACAGAAGGAGGTGATTTCGTTTGATGGAAACAGAACAGATAAAAATTACATGAGACTGGAAGAACTTCTTACAAAACAGCTTCTAGCCCTGGATGCTGTTGATCCGCAAGGTGACGAGCGGTGTAAGGCTGCCAGGAAGCAGGCAGTAAAGCTTGCACAGAACATTCTTTACTATCTGGACATGAAAACAGATGAATGGGAGTACTGAAAGAGCCATGGCCTGACACAGAAGAACATTTTCCCCTTTGGCACCTTATGAAGATCATTGGCAGCACATAATAAAGTATTCTGTGCCTGCTGAAATCATGGAAATTGCATAAGCAGTTGACTTGGCTATATGTCTGCTATCCCACGCAGTCACCCACTTGCCATGGCAACTGTCAGTACACCATCAGCAATTCTGGTCACTGATATAAGCAAAGAAGTGCAATTCTTTGAAGGAATAGCTTAATACTTGATCAAATAGCTTCTTCTTTTTTTCTTTTTTTTTCCTTCTCTTTTTCTTTCAATAGCCTTGTGCAATGTTCAGTGAATGCAGGTTTTTCAAAGACACAGAAACTTCCTTATGGTACAATACTGGCAAAACTATTTAAGGAGACTGAACATGAAAATTAATATTAAGGCATGAGGCTCCATCCAGCAACTTCACAGCAGTCTGGATGTCCTGTTAATGTGCTGTCATGACATAGAGTACTAAGGGCAAAAAGCCTGCTGGCTTTTGGATTGTACTTGATTTATTCCATCCATCATAGCATCTAGATATCTCAGTTAATGGAGCTATAATGCCAGCTGCAAATTAGCATTTACATAGGCAAAGCCAATTATGTCAATTTTTGTAATACCTGAGCCCTTTGATTTGCAAAACCAGGTCTTTTGTTGGTGGAAATTCTTTCAAGTTGTTGCTTTAAGGTACTGAGACTTGGAGAGGAAAATCTGTACATTTATACCAAACAGATAAAGGGGATTTTGAGGATTTCAAACTGCCATCCATACACCCTTGCACTGAACTTTATGTAGTGGCTGCTTAGGTGTCTTTTTAAACTCTGCTGTTGTGTCTGGTTTTCACATTTGGCAAAAACACAAACAGACTTCACTTTGAAGTGAAATGTGCATTTTGGAATTATTTTTGTAAAATTAGGTAGCCAGCTATAAAGATGTCCCTAATGATGTAAGTATATGCTACATGGTCAGGTGTGGCTTGGAGCATGTCTTGGAAGGACTTGTGGCAAATGTCTCTCTCTGCAACTCATTCACTTATTTCAGAAGCTTCATTAATAAGCTTGCTTGTACTGTTGTATGCACCTACCTTTTTATTTGTGGCTGCTAGTGCCAATCACATTTCTACTATAGCATGTTTTTTGGCATTTTTTGAAAGCATGGCATTAAAATGATTTGAGTATATACAGATATATGTAAAGAATATAGATATATATAAAGGTATATTCAGTTGTGGACAATTTGCACTCAGCTCTTTCAGGATGAACTAAGGAATTAGTATTCTATAGATGATGGTTTGCACCACTTTAAGGAGTAGAAACCGTTTCAGATGTTACAATAAATATTTTTAAGATCTATTTTTGACTCATTAGAGAAGACAGTACTGTCTGTGAGAGACAAGTGCCTTTATGACACTGCTATCTTGCACCGTCATATGTAGATATAGGAACTCTTTACTGGCAGCTTGATACATTTGTAATCTTTGCAAACTGGATTTTTCAGGTATATATCTAATTCTACTGTAGTATATGTCAAGCTAACACAATACAACAGGTGACAGTTGCCCTATAGAGTCCTGAGAATGAGTATCAAATTTGGGAAATTCATATTCTGCTTAAAAACTGAAGTGTTGGTGTGGAGGTGGGGGACTTTGGGCAGGTCTTCTGTGCCTATTGCTACAAGAATAATATGTTTGTTCATAACATGCTATGAGATGTTGATTGAAGGCTGCATACCTTCAGAGTGTGAATAGATTTTGTTTGTGATTGTGCAGGTGATTGCTTTGCAAATCTGCTTGCCAAAACAGACGTAATGGAGTACAGTGCCTAAGGCACGATTTGGCAATGACAGAATGTTTGTTGGAGGATTCTTCCTGCTCCTTCAGAGACACAACCCCATGGAATTTAACTCTCCTTCACTAAAAAAAAATCCCCCAATTAAAATTCCAATCTCTGTTTGAATATTATGTGGCTAACACAGAATATTAATAATGTTATACACCTGAATTATATTACTCATTTCAAGCTCTCTACATGTTTGAATTACAACTTGTGATTTGCACTTACATTTTTAGGAAAGATAAGGATTTGATATTGTAATGGTGTTAATAATTTTTCTTTAGTATTACTGTCGGGTCTGCAGTGGTTACTTGTAGTTTGTTTGAGCAGTTTAGTGTCTGTGTTCTCTGGCAGATACATGTAGTTTTATAAGCGTTTCAGCCTCTTATGTAAAAATGAGTAAGTATAGTTATCAGATCTGTCCTATTTTAAATGTGTCCTTTAGTTTTCCTGGATGGATTGTTATGCCTGCATCTCTAAGAATGCAAATGTGTAATGATAGTGTAATTTGGCTGACTGAGTAGAGTCCAGTAGCAAGATATTATGTGGATTAAGCTTCTTTCCTTTGTTCTGTACTCTTATAAATTGACTATTTAAATTTTGTGCTATAATCCTCATCTGGAATGGGTTTAATTCACAGTTTTTGCATGAATGAAAGTAATAAAATATATGTGCTTAACAAGAAAAAAAAAAGGCAAAACAAAAAAACCCAAAAAACCAAAAAAAGAAATGCACAGGTTTCTCAAAAATTTGCTTTATGCTGAAGAATGTAATTTCTCTGTTTTTCATATCCAAAGATTGAGAGAGACACAACTTTTCTTTCCAATACAGCAGGCTAAAATAA